GAATTGCTGTGGGTGGTTCATATTTACGTAGATAACAAAACCGTTAATAACCAAGTTATACCGCACAGAATTTCGCTCTGCAAAGACTGAGCGATTAAAATGCAAAAATGCACAATTGGCCTACACACAAATCTCACTGGCAGCTCTTCCTTGATAAATTTAAATTAATGAGCGCGCATCAATGTGGTAAAGTCCCCGAAGACGTCTCAACTCTTAAAAGGTTGCACTACACCAAAATACGCGCCCACAGGGGTGCTCTGCCCAATTCAAGGAGAATTCTTCGCCAAACGGAGGCGCTGAAAAAGTACCCCTAGAGTTTATTTGAAAAAGAGGAGATTGTGTGGCCCAAGAAATTGTGTGATTGTGGAAGAATGGCTCAGAATGAACTCTCCACATTCAAAGGCTCCCATTCCATGGCTAAGCACAGCAAAATGCTACTGACAAACTGTTCCAAGAGACTGAAAAGCTGGAGGGATGTCATTTGAAAAATGGCCACTGACGACAGACATTCTCATGAGATATGTAATGTCAGGTTTGGATTTATTTCTCACGAAAACAAGTTTCAAAAAATTTGTAACTCATAACAACGAACTTTTAAAAAAATTTAAAAAAATTATGAAAATGAACTTTGAATAGTGTACGTTGTGAAATATAAACTTGACGGCACTCCATGGCATTCGTATCATAGTCACGAAGGCATGCGCAGTGAAACTAGTAAGTCTGCATTCTGAAGCGTCGGAATTTCACTCGAAACCGGCTATAAGCTGCGTTCTGCTTCACATCGTGCGACAAAAACAATATGGCTAGATGGATGTCTCGCAAACCACGAGGTAAACTTAATAAGCAATTTCATTGGAAAACGTTAATTAAATTATCGACCGTAACGTAGATAAACTTTTTTAGTACCTTCTGATCTTACAAAATAAAAAAATGATAGCCGACAGTTAGATTATTTAACTTAAGCATATCTAATTCTCCGATAGTCCTATGTCACTTTTAAATCCCCAAATCTTTGCTTTTTTTCGATCAATTCCATTCAATACTTTTTACCTACAGATTGCATTGGAAGATTAAGTAAAAGTAATTGGAGAAACTTTAGTAAACTATCATTTCAAGATCTCCAGATAATACGCTTTATTACTTACGACCTATATAAATGGACTAAAATCTCCAGAGTTTTCCAAAATTTGCATGGGTCTATTCGTGGGGCCAGCGACAAATTTCATTTCCCTTAGGCTAATAATGGCTACTTTCCACGAGGGCAGAGACTTCTCTTTTGTTGACAAACACAGACCACCCAGATTAACCCTTGGTTGGCAACAACTTTCGTGTTAAGATGCACAATTTGCTTGAGTTAACTTGGAAGCATGTTCAGTAAGTCTTTAGTCGACGTTTTAATCATTAAGTGCTGCTGTAAGATTTCGTAACAGTTTGTAAATTTTTCGATTCCGAAGCTGTGCCAACCTGCGCTTGAGACAAAACAATACAAAGTCCTGTAATGGCGATGCTATTTTTGTGCTCATCTGCAACGACCACCTGTCGCTGGAAATTCCGG